AAAAAACTCAAGTTTCGCACTTGACTGTAAAAGAGAGATGACGAAGGTAGTGGAAGAACTGGGGGAAAGAGAGGGGTAGAGGCAGATGATGAATAAGAGAGATGTGTATGAGACATATTCTTTATTAAAATTCAATATTAATACAATATGAGAATGAAAATAACTTTTATCATCAATAACTTAAATAGCCGAGCGGTTTAAGTGACCGCATACTCGGTGAAGTCACTCTGGAGGCAGAAGGTGAGCGGGATCGAATCCACATGAAGGCGACGACGACGACGACCGACTATGAAGCAGAAAAAATGGAGCAGTGCTGGTGGCTGACTGTTGGCAGGCGCAGACGAAGGTCCTGAAACGAACACACCAAGTGATGGTCAAGCTGAGGTCCATGATGCGACGGGGTCACATGCAGAGGAGGGACACATTGCGGAAGACGCATGCAGAACACAAAAATCTACCCAGCAGCATCAAAAAGAAAAAAAAAATGTGAAAAAAAAAGAGAAAAAAGGAAAAAAAAAGGGAAAGAGGAGGAGGAGGAGGGAGAGAAACCAAAAAAAAAACCCCTAAGTCCCAGAAAAAAATTTCTCTTTTCTGTTCAGCGTTGAAACTTTTTTATGTTTTTTAGTGTTCCCTCACACCAATTCCCAAAACCAACACTCGAATGAAATGAGGTCCACGTTGAAGTTTTCACAACGAGAAAAAATTACTGGGACTTAGTTAAAATTTTTAACTTTGTCCCAATAAAATTTTCTCGTTGTGAAATATTCAATGTGAGCCTCATTCATTCGAATGTTGGCTTTGGGATAATACAGCATGCATAAATAACTCGTCTGTCTTAATTGAAAAGGTTTCAGAAAATTTGGACTTAGAAAAAAAAATTATCTGAAAGGACTTAGAAAAAAAAAAAATTATTTGAAAGAATAATAATCAAAAAATTTGGACTTATAAAAAAAAATTATCTGAAAGAAAATTTGGACTTAGAAAAAAAAAATATCTGAAAAAACTTAGAAAAAAAAATATTCGAAAGAATTATAATCAAAAAATTTGGACTTAGAAAAAAAAAATTATTCGAGAAAATTATTTAATTAATCGATAAAATGAAATCATATTAATCGAATTAAACTCCTTTATACGACGTGATAAAACATGTGAAACCTTTACAATTAATCGAGACAAATATACAACAAATATAGCTGACTTGAATAATATACAAATTATTGGAAAAAGCCAAAAAAAAAAATTTAATAAAACTTGTAAAATGAAATAATAAAAAATGTTCAAAAACTTGAACATTAAAAACTTCAAAACTGTTATAAAGCTGATTGTTATCCTTTAGAAATTGAGTTAAATAATTTTTACAACTTGAATCGAATAATAAACTTGTAAACAAAATTTAATTTTGTGTAATCATTCAAGTCAACTCTTTGAAACTTTGATTGTATGTCTTGATCAAAATTGTTTTTAGCAATAAAAGAATAAAAATCTATCATTTAGCTACGCAGCGATATAATTGAATAAATTTAAAATAAAACTACAGTGAGACTTTTAAAGCTGCTAATCTAATTAACAATTTTGTAAGTCGTATTAAATATTTGAAAGATTTTGATCAAAATCAACAATCGTGTTATCCATAAATAAGAATGTTCATGCAGTCAATATCGCTCGGGGAAAACACATGATTCTTGATACTGAAAATGTCAAATAGAAATACAAATATTTTTTTTTGGTATAATAATGAACAAGAGGTGTAATAAAAAAGAGATTTGTGTAACAAAGTAAATGTGTAACTTGTAATTTGTAACAAAATAAACATCAATTTAGGAGTTACCTAAGGTAAGGTGCTAGGGCCCCTTCAACAAATAAGTAATCGAAGTATACAAAAAGCTGTATTGGTTAACTAATCATTTAGCAACAAAAATTTAATATATAAGAATTCTGAATTCCACACAAAATAGTGTTATTTATAGAATAAAAGAATTTCTGAACGTATTTCTGATTTCTAAAGAAGTACAAACTTTTTTTCTTTTATATTGATTTAAAACATTCGTAAAAGGCACTTGTATAAATAAATAAAAAAAATTAATCAACATGTTTTCCCCATAGCAAATTAAATAAGAACAACATCTTTTACACATATGTCTGCCAAATTATTTTAAAATTTTTCATTAGCATAATGAAAAATTGTTGTTGATAAATTAACAAAAAAAACATTGTATTTTATGTATTAAAAATTATTAAAGTACACCTTATTAAAAAAATGATATTGACTCAATTATTGTAATATAAACAATATTTTCAGCAGATATATGTATACAACTATTATAATAATACACGAGCCAGAAGATATTCCACTAAAATATATACAGATATACTTATAAATGATATCGGATAACAAAGGGACAAGTTCTCAAAAAATCTACCAATCAATTTTCATTTATTCATTTCATTTAATATGAAAAACAAGCATTAAATACATAATTAATAAGAAGTAGTATTATTACAAGCATAAAAAATAGCATGTAATACAAAGTCGGTCAATAATTGTAAACTCTGTTCAGAAAAAATTATAAGTAATATCTTTTTATTTATTTCTATCCAAATCATAGTTTTATTGAAGATGACAAACAATATTGTATCGAAATCAAAATTTATAAATTAATCTTTAATTCCAAACGTTTGAACATTCAATTTAATGTCAGCATCAGTAGATATTAACGTTGGTAGGTTACATCTAAGATGTATATAAGTTAAATATTGAACACTTAAAACACTATAGGTGCAATAGATATGGTACTTTAAATGCCTGTATATAATTCCAGAAGAATATTCTTTGACTCGCTTTGTATAAAACATGCTTTGCACTTACATTGTTAGAAATCCTTTGCAGCATCTGTCAGAACACAAATCCAGGACTTCAAGCACCACTGGAGCATCTTCCAGAAATCTCAAGTACTCGACACAAAATCACTACTTTAGAACCACTACATAACTTTAGTCTTTTACAAGTTTATTTGACATGGTGAAATTGTCCGAGTAAAGTCTTTGCACAATACACCACACACGACTTATATTAGAGACTTTCGTGAATTTAGAATTTGATAATAACAGATATGAGGTGGAAGTACCTACAAGTATAACCTACAAAAGCACATATATAAATTATACTATTGATAATTGCATGTATATAATTAAAGGATACATTGACACTGTAAATGAATTGTTTAAATATAAAATTGATTCAAAATTGAGATACTTATCAAGCTATTCAAGGTACACCTGAATAATGTATATAATTAAAGGATACATTAGCGCTGTAAATGAATTGTTTAATTATAAAATTGAGATACTTATCAAGCTATTGAAGGTACAACTAGGCATTTCCACACATATCCATTTTTTCGGCTTTTAATTAACGTTTCACGACAAATTTATTATATCAAATTGATCTACTAAATTAATTACACGTTTTGATGCATAAATTAATTAAAACTAATCAAGGATTTAATTAAAAAATCATAATTAACGACCGCATGTTAATTCACGAAAATCTATTTGACAATTGATGCATTTGAAGTTAATGACATGTGTCAAAATATTTGTCGTCCTTAGTATAATTCAGAGCGCGAAATTCAAACTTTAAATTTAAACTTTGTAAAATTCACTTATATTCGCCAAAAGTGAATGGATTTGTTTGAAAAGTATAGCAATCCTAAAACTATTCAAAGCTTTTTACCGTTTACATTCAAATCTACAATTTTTTCAAATATAAAAATTTATCTGTCACTATCCGCATATATTCAAATCATATTTTGGAAGAAAATTGTGGGAAAAAATGTATGGAAAAGAAAATTTTTGAAAAAAAAAATTCTGAAAAAAAAATGTGGAAAAAAAATTGGAAAAAAAATTTGGGAAAAAATTTTGGGGAAAAAAAATTTGGGAAAAAAATTTATCTATCACATATCCAAAAACTATACTTGTACTTATTCAACAAGACATAAATACCACAACGTTAGTCGTACTGCTGAATTCCGTTTTTTGGCTGGAGGTATGATTCGAACTCAGTACTCTTTTCGGCAATGAAACAGTTGCTAGGTCTTTATTTCATAATCACCCGACTGGTATTTCACCACGTTCACAGTAAAATTTATCCATATGTTTCTTTAATCAAAATGTAACAATTATATATTAATTAATATTATTATTGTATCACTATTTGAAATAAATAATTAGGTACGGTGCAAATAATTACTTATCATTAGTAGGTACGAAGTGTAAGTAAATATTATCGTTATTCATATTGATTTAATTGAAAATTCCATGCAAGCAACGGTAACAATGGCAACGAAAATCACAAAAACATTTTATTTATATTTTGATGAAAATATATATTATACGCATATATTTTGTCCTTATTTCATTTATTGAAATTTATCAGGTTGATCTATTTGTACTACTTATATTGAATTATATCATATACCAACCAATGAGATTTAATCTCTCAATTTAATCAAATATAATTATATAAAATGTCGGGTTTAGAAATAAAGTGTGATCAATAAACTTCTGTTCACAAATACAAATAAAATGTTTGCTCAATAATTTGAAATAATATAATAAATATATTATACTACAATGCTTACTGTTAAAGAAGATGGAAATTGTAAGTGTTTTCTTTACTAATTTAATATTTTGATTAAAACTAATAAATATATATTATATATATATATATATATATATATATATAATATGTCTTTATTTTAGTAGTAAACGTTTCGAGTCTTTATTTCACTCATCTTCAATGCTACATTAAAAAAGTTCAGGATTAGACTTAACTTAATTATATACATAAAAAATTACAAATTTAACAAAAATAAATTTATAAGCATGAATGACAACATAAATCTAAACAATAATAATAATAATCCGAATAATAATAATTTTTTAACAAAATGATGTTGCTTAAATAAATAAATAAATTAAAAGTTTATTATCATATTGTTGTTGTTTTAAATCTATATATTTATATTATTATTCATATTTATAACTATAATTTTGGCAATTTTGCATTTTTATATATTTCCAACTTGTAATCTTGAAGTTTTTTAACGTAGCACTAAAGATGAGTCATTAAAAACATTTTTCTTTACGAATTTGTTGGATGAACGCCAAATAAAAAAAAAACACCACGCTTTATAATAAATAAATAAATATATATATATATATATATATATATATATATATATAATATATATGTGTACAAACTGCAATAACATAATATTTAAATAAATAATACTAAAAAGCATAACAATATGTTTAAATTAAAATGTTATTAAAATCAATAAATCAATTTATAATATTAATTATTTTCTTACTCAGGAAAGAAACAGCATGGAGAGAATACCAAGCACGTAAAAAGTGGCAACAAACATGGGGTAAAGACTATGAAGAACTTGCCAAATGGCGAGACCAAATTAAAATCCCTGCCGTTGAACGAAGGCACATTGAAAAGGGTAATATAAGAACTTCATACAATCCTTGGCTAAATCCAATTGAAATTGAAGTTAAGCCAACAAATCGGGTTCCCAGAACAAGTTCAGGTATAAAATAAATTACACTTGAGTTTATAATTATTTATATCAGATCATATAGATGAATCATGTTTAATTTGATTGTAACATAAAAAACTTTTAAAATTTATACTTACTACTTACAGCAAAAATATAATTATGTAATGTGAGATGCTTATTTAATATAAAAATATAATTGATAAAACCTTTTATATTCCATATTCCATATAATTAAGATTAAATATCAATAATGATTAAAAAAAACAATTATTTGCAGAAGAAGTAGGTCTGCGAGCACAATTTCCATTAGAATATCCAATAGATATGTATATATCACCAAAACACTTCATTGATCCACCAGATTTACCGTCTAAACCAGAGACAGTCATATTCATTGGATAGTAGATGAAGATACACAAAAGTAATTCCTAAGAGTATAAAATTTTCTTATATAATCACAGTTTGAGCAAAATAAAGGCACTTGTTTAAAATTCCCAAATTAACTTTTAATTCGATATCTTTTGTTCAATTTCTTGTTTTTTTGGTGACAATTTTTCAGGTATCTTTGGCAACTTTGAAAGCATATCATTCAAAGCATCATCATCCAAATTGTCTTCAAGTTTAGGATATATCATAGGTTTTTTATCAGCTGCAATCTCTTTAACTTCTGGTTTTTCTGGTTTGTTTCTTTTAATAAATCTTCTAACTCGTTTTCAAGTTCTCCAATATCAGTATCGTCTACTTTCAAATTAGACATGTCGGATTGGATCTCATCACACTCCTCAAGAGTCTGCAAAAAATTGATAAATAATTGATAATAATTGATAAAAAATAATTGATAGTTAATAAAGTGTTTGTTAACAAGTCCATGTTTAAGGTGAACTTACGTCTTGCAGATTAACCATAGTATCTTGAACAAAGTCTGAGTTGAGTTTTAATTCCTTCATTGTGTCTTTTAAAGCTGCCAGTCCACTTTGATAGCTATCGAAAATTTGACCGTCCGATTGTGAATCTTGTATTCTGGTTAATAAACCTTGTATATTATCAAGTGTTTGCATCCTTTTTTCTAAAATATGAAATTTGTTAACACACTTGTATATAATATACTAATTAAATAAAATACGTACCAATAGAAGCATCTAATTGGCGTTTACGTTTCAAACAATTCTTTGCCATATTGTTTTTCTTAGTTTCTAAATACTTTTTCGCTTCAAGCCTTAATAATTCTTTTTGTTCTTCCAAATTATTAATCGAGTCCATTAAATATTTTTCATTCTGTTGTAATGTATATATACCTATATCTACAGGAGTTATATCACTACACACTCCAGAACCATCTGAAAATAAATTAAAAATTATTTATTAATACATTTTGTATGAATCTCATTAATTTTTTAATATAAAACATTTATTAAATTACCTGGAAGTTTGATGATGGTGTCACACTTTGAATTAGAATTAATTTTATCAGATATTGTCTTTATATAAATTTTTTTTAATACATAAAGTTGATGCAAAGCTATTAATGTTCCTTCTTCTGATAATTTCATTTGCCTACCACAATCCTGCGCTGTTTGCAGTGATATCAATCCTTTATTAAAGATTGGATTTCGATAAGCTTTCAGCTTTCTTAGAAGTTCATCACCATTTTTCTTAAAAATAAAAAAATGACTCATAAATATGTATTACATAATATAAGTATGTAATTTTACAAATAAAACAATTATTACCCTTGCATTTTCTAAAACGATATAAATAGTATCTTCTTCAATTGGTGGGTTAAATAAAGATGATCTAATTGTGTTAAAAGACCATCTCAGTGTTTTAGCGACTGAATTAACTGCCCAATTGCCCCAATCTGCTGTTGGTGCTTCATAAACATCGAAGCCATTGTGATTTCTCCAGATCTGTAAATATTATACAACCATTAAAAATAATAACTAAACATTTAATAAAATAAAATAAAGATAGATAGCATAAAGATGATTCAATTACTCCTTACTTGTACATTTCTTGAATAACGGTCTCCAAACAAGCCGGACTTCTTTTATTTTCCACATATATCTTTTTCAATTCAACCATTGTAAAGTTTGCACAGCCTTTAATATCGCACCATTTCTTAATTAAACTCGACCAAAATTGCAATTTAGATTCCCAATCTTCTGGGTTTACATTTTTTGGACGAAATGGTGCAAAGAGAGCATTAATTCTAGTTTTATCGTGCCAACAAATCGGTAACCGATCTTCTGGAAATACTGTAATATCTTCCGATTTTCCTAATTGTACACTTTTTATGTAACTCATGATTGTTTTTGCTATTTTCAGCAGTCAAGTGGAGGATTGAAAACCAATTTTGCAAGTGTTATCATGTAGTGCAAACTTATGAACTAGATATTTAAATATAAATCAAATTATTGAATTTTAAAATTAAACTAAAAGAATTAGTTAAAAACACCAGAAATGCTACTATCGTTTATCTACGTTTTAAATAATTGATTCGATCAAAAGATCTTGAAATAGATTTTGACAGCTCTTGACAGCTGAACAGAATTGCACAATTTTGAAAAATAACATGAAGTTGTCAACGAATTACAAAAAACCGTTGATATTTGAATAAGTAATTATGTTCTTTTTCAAAATATGGTTTTTCTTCTCTTTGTTAATATTTAAATGTAAAATATGCAAATAAACATGTATAATTTTAATATTTGACACATATTTAGTGTCTTATTTCATAATTAGTAACAGCCCATATTAAGGTAACTTTATGTTTGTTAAAAATTCGGGTCTTTTAAATTATTTTTGGAAAACATTATACAATTTTTTTTTGTTACAATTTATTTTTGTTAATCAAGACTTTAATGTCTTATTTACAAAATTGATATGAGCAAAAAAATACAAAAATACAAAAAAATGAAACATACAATGAAACAATTTTGTTTACTAAAAATGTTGACAATGAGTGCAAAACTTTTTATTTTTCTAAACTATGAATCTTTTTTTGCTTTTAGAAATTATATAAAATTCTGCAGAACTTTCTTCATAATTAACTTTAGACCACAAATTCTACCTTTATATGTCAAAAAGTTTCAATAAAATAATTAAGCACTTAATTAGCTTATCAAACAACTAAAATCAAACTAATATTTTTTATATAAAAATATATTTTTAATATTTTTTTTATAAAAATATATTTTTAATATTTTTTTACCACTTGTTTTCAAAGGTCATATAATATATATTTTACATATACGTGACCCCAATAATATTTTTTATATAAAAATATATTTTTAATATTTTTTTACCACTTTATGTTTTCAGAGGTCATAAAATATATAGTTCACATATAAGTGACCCATTAGCAAAAGTGCTTCATTCTCAACCCTACAAAACATCAAATTCTTTAACAATCAATAAATCTTGAAAGGTTCCCTTAAAATATCTCTACTTTTACTGCGTTCGTGTATTTTTTCCCTTATTCTCACCAATTGCTCGTGCTCTTTCTGATGCAATTCTTTCTGCTTTTCTAGCTCGATTTTTCGTTCCTCCACCTGAAAAAGAAAATAATGATAAAATACAATCGAAAGGTACATTTAAATTTATATATAAATAATAAATCTATAAAAAATAATAGTTGTAACAGTTGACCGTAAGGTATGTTATAGCAATCTCAAAAAATCGAAAATGAAAATTTTTATATATTTTTTGATGTTTCAGGGGTTTCTGTACATTTTCGCATATCTTACAAAAAATGAATGTGTGTGTGAGTGCGTATGTGTGGATACAATTTTTTGTCTACGATTCCTTACTTTCTCAACAATCTTCATCATGTCCTTCAGCAAATCCGGACGCAGCATCAAACCGCACTGCATTTTATTCTTCTCAATTTCTCTTTTTAAACGATCACGTGCCATCTTGCTACTGTTTGTTAATAAGCGGATCTAAAAATTTAGATAATTACATTAAACCTGTATATTAAAAATTATTTTTAATTTCATTACCCAGGCAGCGTCTTCCTCATATCCTTGCAGCATTTCAGTACTGTACAGGACATCATATTTGACGGCATGGGCTTTTTCTCGCACATGGGCCAAGGCCACCGCTATGCCGCGGCACTTTTCATCCAGGGCCTGGATTTCCGATTTACGATCTAGGCAAAAAAAACTTGTAGAATCAAAAATTATTGGAAGCTTCAAAAGGGAGAAACTTATGTTTTACTATTACCTTCTAATTTTTCCGCTCGATGCTGCTTCATAGCCAAGAGCTTTTCATATACCATAATGGATCTTTCTTTTGGCTTAGACGGATCAATTACAGAAAAAGTTTTCCAATAGTCCTCGGCTTGCTTGAGGGCCCTCAGAACCTTCAGCAACCGAAGACGTTGCGCCGACAACTCATGCAATTTCAGTCGTTGTCTTCTTAGATAACGATCCACGACCTGAAATTAAAAAAAAACTAGTGGTGTGTGGCATCGTGCCTTAAGGCAAATTGCTGGTACTTCCCGTACCGTAATGAAATATTTGAGAAATTTTAAACGCTTTCAAATATATATTATTACAAATACTGTAACTTTTGTGGGGATATCAAGCAGGCTGATTTTTTGTAAAAAACAATGGGACATGTCATGTATATTTTTGTTATTGAAATATTTTTATAGTCAATAAATTTGATATATTTTTTATGTTGGGAGTTTCTAATCTAATATATTGTCATAATCATTACAACTCCCACATTGGTGACTCACGACGATGGAGATGAAGATAAAGGAGTTTTATTTTTCGAGGATTTAAGAAAAATTGAATTTGACGCAGCACCATAGTCACTGGTCTTCAGAGATGACCTATAAGGTACGTCCAGTCCAATCCATCATAGTTAACGCACTTACTATCTGGATCAGACTTCCGAGGTTACTCATTTGGTATACCCAGACCTCAGTGTCTATTGCTGACAGAAAAAATAATTTGGAGCCTGAACTTTTCATTGGAATGCCATTCAACCTCTCTTTCTCTGTTAACTCAACAAATCGTCTTATAATGCTACCTCCCATTATCCGTGACAACGACGAGTCAAAACAAAATTTGACATAATTTATTGGATTCCACAATTCTGGACTCTTATGTCAAAGAAACCAATGATCCTAATTTGGATAAAGAGCCAACTTCTTTCTCTGATCGGAACTCATCAGATACGAATGCAACGCTTGCAGAAATGGAAACTGTACCCATAAATTATGCATTCTAAACAATAAGTAATTCTGTTATAACTAATACCAATTAGATCGAGGATGAATCTTAGAAGTTCACCGACATCGAGGTACAGGAAATTTTCCACATGTTTTTTTTAGTCAGAACCTTATGCAGAATATGGAGTTGATGGCAGGTCGAATCACCACATACGGTGGATCTGCTGACGAAACATGGAAATTTGTAATTTGCTATAATTTGCTTTCCCACCACATTTTTATAACGTGTTTCCCTGTATTTTCTTTTTAAACTGTGAGATCAACACTGGGCGGGGAGTGTGTGGGGATATCAAGCAGGCTGATTTTTTGTAAAAAACAATGGAACATGTCATGTATATTTTTGTTATCGAAATATTTTTATAGTCAATAAATTTGATATATTTTTTATGTTGGGAGTTTCTAATCTAATATATTGTCATAATCATTACAACTCCCACACTTTCATTATTTTTTGCCATCTTGTTATATCAGAGCAAATCAAATGTAAATCATAAATCAATTTATCTCCAGAACATTAACAATCGTCATTTCAAGTTCAATTTCAAAAAAATAGTTGCCCAATTTACACAAAATTGAAAAAGTGCTCACGTATAGTCACAGTCTAAACGCATTTGCGAATAATTCTGTGCGACATTTTCACTTATACTGTGCTTAGCTTGGCGGCATTTTCACATTTTTCAATAGTTTTTTTTCACAAAATTGGAAAATTGCTCCAGAACATAAACAGTCTAAACGCACTTGGGCAAACATTTGTACCAGAGTGACGCTTAAACTGTGCTTAGTCTGGGTGGTGTTTTGAATTTTTAATCCAAAATTTGGATTAACCTTAATCAAAAGCAATTGTTTTGTCAAAACAAGCAGAAAGTTTTTTAGATCATTCAAATCGGACGCTTAGTTCACTCAAAAACTGCCATTTTTTGCACATTTAGCTTTGTATCTTCGAAATGTCTGGGCTTGCCTTTGCCAAAAACCACTTCTCTCAATCATTACAAATTGAATGTTTTTTAAATCATTCAAATCCGATACTCCGTACCCTCAAAAACTCGATTTGTATTTTCTGCACTCTTTGCTCTGTATCTCCGTGACGGCTGGACCTGCCTTACCTGCCCAAAAACTAATCAGCACATCTCCCTATCAATAGAAATCGAATGTTTTATAAACCATTCAAATCGGTAAATCCGTGCGCCCGAAAACGTGGACGAAAAAATGCGGACATACAAAACACACACACACACATCTATTAGTTTTCTGAGGTATGTCAAAATGTTCAGAAACCTTCAAAACGTCGAGAAATGCAAAAATTTTCATTTTCGATTTTTGGCCCATTACTAAAACTACCCTACGGGAAGTTAATATAAGTTTGTTAGTCAACAGCTTTAAATTTCAATCAATCTCTACCTTTTCCTGCAACGGTTGAGCATTCCGAGCCCTAATTAGGCCAACCCCGACTTCCCTAAGTCTCTTCTCGTACACCACCAATTCTTTAGCAAAATGTTCGCTCGCGTTGTCACAGTCCTCCTGAAGGGCGCGAGTCCTTCTGGTCATCAGCCGATGCTCCGTTTTCCAACTGGTCAACAAATCCCCAAACCTGGTATTAAAAGACACATGATAAAGGTGAAATAGCATAAGGTAATAATAAATATCAGTCTTCAAATACTTTTGCAATTTATCCTTATACAATTTGTTCTTGTCCAAAGTGAATATTCCCAACGGTCGTTTGCGTCTTATAATCCGGATATCCTGATCCAACTAAAAATAGAAAAAAACAGTAAATTCTGTATAAATAAGTATGAAAAAAATTATTACCTTATCCGCAGCCACATAGTTCGAAATTCTTCGTTGCAGCAGCAAATTGATTTTTCGCAATTTAGTCCTCTCCAACCTCAGTTTGTGAATTTGGTTCTTAACTTTTTCTCTGTCAATGGTGCCTCTTTGTTGCAACAAGGCAGCACGTTCTGCTGCTTCTTGCTCCAATTTAAATAGCTTGAATACTGACAAAAATAGAAACTCAATAAATATTCATAATATCTTAGAATTAGCATGAAAAAATAATGTACCTCTGGCAAAAATCTTCTGTTTCGCGGCGTCATCGAAAAATTTCTCGCTGAAAACATCTGAAAATAAAAATATATAGTAACGCTTCTATAAATAAAATATAATATAAATATCTTTGCTTCATAAATCTAACTTTTAATGGTTTCAATATACTGTTCCTGATCAATAGATTCTGAAGAGACATCGCTTTCTTCACCAATGCTTTCCCTGAATATTCAGTTTGTTTCTCTGTTTCAGGCGATACAAATTATCCTCGAACAAGACATCGTCTTTTTCATCCTGATAAGCTACTTTTGAAACTTTGAAGTCGCCAGATATTTCCTAAATGAGTAAAGGACAATGAAAAATTTAATAGTACAAAGGCAGCATTAGATAGATAGTGTTAAAGACATCTAATACTTAGCAGATAATCTTATAATTAAAGATTATATAAACAAAAAGAAGAGTGCGCCTAAGGATCACACGCGATTGAAGTAAAACTTATTTGCTACTGTGCAAGATGGCATTTAAGTAAAAATAAATAAAACATCATATAACAATTATGAATATTGTTTATTAGTAGATTTATTAGATTTTTTAGAATCTTGAAATTTTTGAAGGTTTGACTTTTTAAAAAATGTTTTTTGTTGGCATTTTTGTTTACTTTGTTCTATTGGATTTTCGAAAAACGATAAACCTACCTTCCCAAAAATGTTATTAATTTAATTTAACTATAGTTCTTCGTTCAAATCGGATGCTCCGTTATTTAAAGACTAATTAAATAAAGATTAATTACTATTTTTGGTACATTTTGCACCGTATCTTCGAAACGATCAAAATATAATCAGCACATCTTACCGCATTAAACCAAACCGAATGTTTTTTGAATTATTCAAATCGTTTGAACTGTGTTCCCAAAATAGTCGACGATAATTTGTATCCGAACACACAAACACATACATCGATTTTTTCCAATGTAAGATATGCCAAAATGATCAGAAGGTTTTGAAACGCTTTAAAGATATGCAAAAATTTGCATTTTCGATTTTTTATGGTATTATGTATTATAACTTACCCTACGGGAATTCAATAATATAACAAAATTTCCTATTTGTTCTAACAATCAGGCACATTCGACGAACTTTTTAACTTCCCTTAGGATAAGATCTGAAGAATATATTTTTTTGAACTTTCAGCTCGATTACGATCTCTCTAGTTGCCAAATTGCCGTATTATGTTTTGTTAGTTATATTTCTTGAAATACAATTGTTATTAAATTGGTTAACTTTATTATATCGAATTTTTTTCTCACTTTTCAAATTTTGCCGTCCTAGAATATTTGCCGCCCTTTACAATAGCCCCTAGTGTAAATCCAGCACTGAATAATAGCATTAAAAATGTGTATAATATTTTAAAATGTAATTAAAGTCATACTTCAAATATGACATGATCAGTTTGTCATTATAATTAGGATTTAGAAATGAACCTCCACCATTAGAGAAATGAAGTAATTGCTGATTAATACATTCTATAATATTCGTTCACACAGTGGATTATTTTAAACAAACGCCTAAACAATAATGTTTTCGTAACTTATCACTCATCATGTAATAATTGTGTTTGAAGAACTTCATGTAATAAAATTAACATACATTCATCGACTGATGGTATTTTTTACTTTTTCGTTGACGATTTAATCTCATTCTTTGAACAGCTGTAATATCTGTTTTGCCTAAAAAATATTTTCCATTTCAATCACTTCAATAACAAAGATTTATAGAATCTACGAATAATATAGAAATTTATTTCAATAAACCTATGTTTCATACACGGCGCAAATGCTGCATTTATTTTATTATTTTAATTATAATTATTTACGGGAGACAGTGTAAGATATTGTTCTGATTCAGGCATTTTTCATTAAATCGAGATTTGTACTACGATGTAACTTAAATGTTATTTATCTATGCCGATTTCCTTGTTGATATCTGTACGCATACAACGACAGAATTATTCACATACGCGACGGACTAATCACAATCGACCCGTATAGAAATGACATCATCGAGAGCGAATAACAAATCATGGCACTCGACTCTTATCTTATCTGCCGTAACGTACTTCCGTTGCATTTGTACGGATTTATACGTCTAAAGAAGGTTGACTTCAATAATGATTTACTACCTCAGAAGGTCTCTCCTCGTCAATCGAACCCATGCTGGACACGCTGGTGTTCTCGTAAGGTAATTGGGGAGCTGCCAAGTACTGACGGAAATCAGTTGTAGGCGTCAGACGCACTCTAAAGTCGCCAACCATTTCCCCAGTGTAACGAGTTGCCAAAGTGCTCGCCTTTTGGCCCATTTTATGGACTTTTTGGCTAAAAATAAAAAATTGAAAAATAAACTGAATTACAATAAACTGGAAAAAAATCACCAATCAATTATCAATTATCTTACTTTAGTGCTCTCAGCAGTGCTCTGGACTTCGGCGAGCGTTTCGCCCTCGTCCAATACAAAAATACGGCACCTTGTGACCCTTCGACGAGCCACTGGATTTGCCAACTGATCCCACCACACTTTCCGACGAAATACTTGTACCAATTCTGGATTTGATGGTCGCCGCACTTATGGCCCTTCCAAGCTTGGAGACTCCGTCTCCGTCGGAGGACATGCCGAGGGTGCTTAGGGTGCTTATTGTCGATTTGCGTCGTTCGGTAACTTATAAAGGATAATACGTCATAAAATTTAGTGCAATTAAATTGAAAAAAAATCTCTGGCAACTAAAAATCAAGTTGGAACCAAGTTAGAATCGAATAAGTGCATGGTATGAATCCAATAACAAACTAGTAATCCCATAAAGAATCCAGTAAAATCAAATAAAAATGTAGCAAGAACTCAGTAGCAAATTCTGGCGAGAATCTGGTAAGAATCCAATAAGATTATGTTGAGAATCTTATAAAAGTCTAGTAAGTAATCTTATAAGAATCTGGTAAAAAGCTCATGAGATGCTTGTTATAACCTGATCAGAAACCACTAAGCAATAACATCATATGTGCTTTTAAATTGTAAGAAAATTTTTCAATAAAATTCAATAAAAATCTAATAAGACCCGATGAGAATCTAATTGGATACTAGTGAGAATCTTAATAATCTACTAGGTAATCTTATGAGAATTTGACATGAATCTTAAGAGAAACTAGTTAGAACCTGGTTGGAAGCTTCTTAGGATATTTAAGATCAATTTGGAGTTTAAATAAAAACTACACAGAGTCTAAATAAATTCAAGTCAGATTCAAATTAGAATCTCTTTGCAAACACGCAAATCTATAATATATAAATGAATCGTAAAATGTGTGGGTAAGCGTAGAACTCAACAACGCCTGGACCAATTTGGCCAATTCTTTTTTTAAAATGTTCGTTGAAGTCCAAGGATGGTTCTTACGGCGAAAAAAATCGATTAATTGCCGGAAAAAAACCTTTTTTCACAACAAACGTTAATATTTTCACATTTTTGCCATCGAATACGGAATATTTACTCAGTCAATGGAGCGTTTTGGGTCTAAATTTTTTTACTGTCCTCCAA